CCTCCTGCACAGCCTGTACAACTAGGATTCATTCCACTAGTATTAACTGAGTACCTACTGTTTACCAACGTTCTTCAAGATGTCCAGGACTTGTGGGGCTGACAGTCTAGAGGGGGAGATGGGCCTCAAATAAATTACATAGTATCTTGTAGAACAAAAGCCCTTGGGAGAAGTGACACTGGGCAGAAGGAAGGATACATTGGGGCAGAGCTGCCCTTTAGCATCAGATTCCAAGAAGTTGGCTTTTTTTGATTGATTGGTTTTGGTTTTGGTTTTTTTTTTGTTGTTTTTTTGTTTTGTTTTGTTTTGTTTTGTTTTGTTTTTGAGACAGGGTTCCTCTGTGTTGTTTTAGAGTCTGTCCTGGAAGCTCAGTAGACCAGGCTGGCCTTGAACTCACAGAGATCCGCCTGCCTCTGCCCCTGAGTGCTGGGATTAAAGGCGTGTGTCACCAACACCCGGCCAAGTAAAGACCTGAATAAGGCAAGAAGGCACTGAAGAGGGCACCATGAGAAAGACACAATTGAGAGGGAAGGCCCGACAGTACCCATTGTGTATTCAGAGCAGCCAGGAGCAGTGCGTGGATAGAGGAGCATGGGCAGTTAGGGAGAGACTGAGAGCTCACAGGGGAAGAATAGTATAGGACCTGGGAATGTTACCTTTGACCCTGAGCACTGTGGGTTCCTGAAAATGCCCTGGGAAGAGGACAGATGACATGGACCAGGAACCCTAAGGCTGGAATGGTGGGGAACATACTGTGGGGAGCTGGCAACTACACTGGTCCAAGCAGTGTGAGCAGGGGTGGGAAGAAATGTCCTAAGTCCTGAGCTGATATGACAGGAAACATGGAGAGAGCTTGTTGGTATGGAATGTGAGAGGAGACTAGAATTCAAATATATATGACCCCCAAATTGAAGTTCTCAAATGCTGGATGTGTGGCCACTGTTTTCATAGGTGGGAGACCAGGGCACAGGGCTGGTGAACAGCAGCTAGTCCAGACCCTGAAGTTGCTTTCTGAGGGTTGTCATCTAAAGATTGGAAGAAGTCAGATAAAACCCCTGCCTCCAGCCCCTTCCTTGCCTTCTCTTTCTTACCTCAGCCAGGGCCAGCCACTCAGGTTTGTGTATGTGTTTTAAATATTTGTTTTTAGTGTGTGTGTGTGTGTGTGTGTGTGTGTGTGTGTGTGTGTGTGCCTGCCGCGTGCGTGTGTGCGTGTGACATGTATTCCAGTGCCTGGAGAGGTTAAAAGAGGACATCAGATGCTGCAGCTGGAGTTACAGGCAGGTGTGAGCTGCCAGACATGA